TAGTATAGGAATTTTCACATTATTTATAAATGAAATGCAGCAATGCAATTGCGATTTTTGTTGTGACACAAAGCAACCTTGCATTTGATGCACTCGGTCCGTGAAAATCCTTTGCAACCTGGAAGTTATCACCCACCACATTCAAATGTCAAAAAACATATAACTTACTCGCCAAAAGTAACGTCAAGTCTTTTATTTCACACATGGCCTATTGTCTATTGTTATCAACGTGTGTTCGGAAACGCACATACTCAGGTTTTTGAATAAAGTTAAGTGGAACTGGAATGTAGACAATTGGCAACAATATGCATTTAAGGGTTAAGTCTCATTTCGGCTCGCTTTATCCCCGTCCGTGGAGATTCGAATAAAAATTACTGCAAGAAAGTTTAAGGTGAAGTGTCTACTTAAATAATACTTTGTTACAGGACCTGATCGGCACAACAATAAAAGACTTGTGCCACCCCCATGATCTCAGTAAGCTAACTGCACATTTGAACGATACGCTTCAAGTCGGTCGGAGTACCAGCGATGTGTACCGGCTACGCGTTAGTCCTGATAAGTTCCTTAACATTCAAACAAACTCGAAGCTTTTCAAAGCTAATGTGATGAACTCTACTGACTTCATTATGGCCACCAATTCCATCATTGGGTAAGTCGAATTTCTTCACTTGTCCTCGCAGAACGTGATAGTTTTAACCGTAAGATTAGACGTTCTCCGCGTGGTTCGTTCAACTTCGAGTTCAATGTCGTTCGTACAAATTGAAAATCGATCTGTTTATCGAGATGCAGACACGAAGGTCTCGCTTATCAAACATTGGCTAAACCGAGATTGAACGTGTCACTACATTGAATACCAAAGTATCGGAAAAAATATTGAATTCCGGAAGAAACTTACGGTTCCGTATGTCGCGTTAGAATTTGAATAACTCTTCCAATTTTCGAGTGCTGTGGTAATCAGTGTATCGATGTTCGGATTGGTATTAACTGTCGGAATACCGTTAGGGCCGAATAGCAAGAACTTCGATTATTGCGAGGCGTGATAGAATCACAGTGGCGTGTGTCGATTAGCCGTTGAAAATCGGCGGCTACCGAAAGATAGAATCCGCTTCTCAATGTTCCGTCGGTCGCTCGGTGCTCGCCTTAATAATCGATGTTCTCGAATGCCGGGTAATTAAGTTAATATGTATATCCTTCGTGTATCGCTTAATTACTCTTTATTGGAACACATAGGCAAGGGTGACTATATCTACACGACGTATTACTTACGAATTTCCCACTGTGCTAGGTTTCCGCTAATATACATATGTTCTGTGCCACCTAATCTCTGCGCGTTTAATCTTATCGCTGTTGCTTCGAGAACTAAATGATATCGGAACGAAACAAAAGGAAAAGGGGAAATGGATAAATCGCTGAGGAAAATGAATATATATTGATTCAGAGTTAACTGTGATCGAGTATGAAAACACGAATTCAGAAACGTTCACTTTAATCGATCGTGACGATAACTCAAGTGGAACGGTGAACAAACATCGAAGTACACCTTGCATGACACGGGTTCTCTCTTCTCGGTGTTGGAGATCTGGCCACTCTTGAAACTAAAATAATACTTTCCGTTCTGGACGTTGTTGCGAACACAAAAGCTCAGGTCGCGTCGTTTGTGCTTCCTAACGCTTCGACTGCTAACAAATTATTATGTATCACACGCTGGTTTCGTTGCACCTCGCCATACAAATTTTTCCAGAACGTTCGCCCGTTCGTTCTTTCGTTCGTTCGTTCGTTCGTTCACGGTGCACTGTTTACGCAGTGGAAATAGCCGAACTTCTTATTAACATGTTGACTGCCACGACGGTTTATATGACGATGCACTCTCGGAATATACGAACCTTGACCTACATAAACACCGATATACGTAGATAACTTCGGGATATTGTATCGAGCACACTATAATTTCCGACATTGGAAAATTAATCACAGATGTGATCGCTTATTTGTCATTTCCTATCACGTAGCACGCTCGAAATGTTCCCATCGAGTGCAATATATTCTCCCCAAATGTACTTCAGCTTCTAAACAAGAATGGACAATTTGGAGAAAGGATTATTCAAGCCTCTCGGCTCATTTTTATAGTTGCCGATTGTCAACAACTTTAAAAACGAGGCGCAAAGCTCGAATAATGTATGTCCTCCTTCCAAATTATCCATTTTCGTTTCCAAATTGAGAGTCAATTGAGGGAGAATTTACTGCAGTCTAATTGCTGGTATCTGATCGAAGTAGTCTCAACAAGATCACGCCTGCGTCAAGTTATAAACATAGTAGAATTTTCAATAATAAGCAAGAAAAGATTGTTCGAAATCATCGAATAACAACGATAAAAATGTACGGAAATTCTTTCCCTATTTTATTTGATCCTGTTAACCATTCAGCTGTCGTGGGTGAACTGAGAAACTTTATACAAATTTTCATTTTCATATGTGATTTTACTAAAATTAGAATTAATGAAAAATTTCCTTCGTCAATTGAAAGCTTGCTCATTGTAAAAAGAAAAGAAAATTGCTGTCAGACCTCGTTGAATTATATGTTCTCGGGTGTTTTAAAGAAAGACCCGCAGTCTAGTGAAAAATGAGTAAACCAAATGAGTTCAAGGGTTTTCTATCTCCAATCCATTACAATTATTAACCCTTTGCGCTCCAATGTCGAGTCAAATTGACTTTTGCATTAATAGTTTATTTTCGTGATTCGCATTATATTCCTGAATAATGCCGCAATTCCGCGGTACGTAGAACCACTATAATATTTCTAGTTCTAGTTAGGTTGCAAAGTTGCATACGGAAGTATGCTTGGATTGCGTTATAGCAAATTCTGAAATAAAAGAAAGAAAATACTTTGGAACGCAAAGGGTTAAGGAAAGAAAGGAGTGCTTATGTACCTCCTGCATCTTGCAGTTAGTGCAGACAATTTTCATTTTACATAAGAATCCGCAATTTAGTGACAGGTGTCGTAACATTCTTGGTGTCTGGATTGTGTCTGTTGATAACGTAAACAATAACAAAACAAACGTTGCACATAAATGACGAATCCAAAGTAAAATGAAGCCGAATGAAACGAAGAAATGAAATAAAGGTGTGCACGTGAAACGTCATGACGTACGTAGCATAGGATACCAGAACTGAGTTCAATAGTTACATGTAATCTTCCATTACCATAAGACTTCGTTTCGTCGCCATGTCAAAGAATTTGTCGTCAGTCAACACGTTAAAACGGTTCACTTTTTTCCACCGGACGCATCATTCGACTTCGCTAAAATGTTTCGCGCTCACCTTGAGATATTCGCGCCAACGAGTTGCATAGAACGTTGAAGCCATAAATGCCAACTAGAGTAAAGTTGACCGTCGCGGCATGGCGTGGTGAATCTTACTCGTGCTTCTGCAACTTAGGTTGGGGCGTCAAGGACGCTCAAGGTTCCCCTCTCGGTGAACAGTGCTCGTAATTATCAAGTACAGTATCTCTGCTCGCTTACTTTCTTCTCTTCGGCCGTCGAACTTTCGATCGCTTCGCCTAATTCTTTGTGTTTCGTTTTACGATACAAAGGACAGGGCCGCTAGTACGCACTCTCAACGCTGCTCGGCTTTGTACCATATAAGTGACGTGAGAGACAAAGAGTTTGTTACCAGTTGAGCCCTGCTCACCGCCAGAAGGAGTCATTTGCCGTGGTACATCGTAAATAGGGAAAGTACAGTAACATCTCTAAACTTGTATGTAACAACGTAGCGACAGGTTTGGGAGATCCACGTCGAATCGCTATACCGAGCGTGTTCTTGCGGGAACACTGCGCAGGAGAAGCATCGGTCTTTCTTTACGAAGCTGAGAGTACCATACATGAAATTGTCCATGTCGAACAAAAGGATTCGCTGGATTTGAGCTGGCTCGAATCGGAGATTATGCTATGAACCTTGTACATTTCCACCGGAAAATCACTTCACGCTTTTGATTCGTATGCATTTTAGCAAAAAAAATATTAGCTTGTAACACCGGTGATAGTAAAATGTGAAAAGAATTGAAAATTTCAACGTGTCTTTGCGACAAGATTGTGTTTTCATGGTCAGTTTTGATCGGGAAAGATTTCGGTTAATAGGGATCGAACGAAAGATACAAGAATTCGACACTTGTACAAGGTTGGCGGTGTTGCTGTGCATCGGATAGAACGGATATAGCGTGCTTGTAAAATCAATTAGAAGATTCGAAGCATTGCAAATGCGTGTCAAGTGGCCCGACGCTAAGTGCCTCAACTTTTAATTAATTTCGGTGTTACACTTTCTTACGAGATTGTGGCAAAAGGTCAGCAGGTTCTAAACGAACTGGCATCGATTGCAACGATCGTTTCTCGTCATCTCGTGGTACCGGTACCAGAAGGCGTTGTATCATCGGTTTGTCCCGCGAACGAAGCATTCGATTTACAATCACGCTATGTCTTTTTCACCTCGAATAAATAGTTACTGGTTAGTGTTTAGTCTAAACTGAAAAGTGTTTAATAGTAACTGGAAAATACATGTGTTGTTTTGTTTCTTGTCCATGATAGGGACAATGACTTAACGCCTATCGAGGGTGGTCAGCTTTCCAACAACAAAGTGTGCTCAGGACACTCTAGTAACCGTTGTGCAAATAATAGTAATAATAATAATGGTAACAATAAGAATAACGTGGGTGGCCCGCTGATGCCCGTGACACATCTGAACGGTCAAGTGAGTGGTATCAGTAGCCGGGGGTTGGCGGGTACATCGTCGCACAGTGCCGCGACTTCGTCGAACTCGATAGTATTTAACGCGGCTGAGTC